TTAGGCATTTTCGGACAGATATAAAACTGGAAGTACAAGTCGGAGGTCAAATGTGAAAGTATCAACTGATAGACAAGGTTAATGACCTTTGACCTAATAAAGGTCAAGATCATCAAAGGTCAAGGTCACGAAAATATGAAACCTTCAAACTTTCAAAAATTTCAACAGGAAATTGCAAAAAAGCAAAGACGAAAATCAAAACTCGGGCTTCTAGAGGCTTCTTGTTTTTTTGTGTTCTTTCATTTGACACCCAAATCATCTAAATCGGATAAGCCGTTATCTCTGAAGAGATTTTGACGCATTTCATGAAAATCAAAATGGCGGCCAAAGTGTCACTTCCGGAATGCATTTTATTTTAAAATCGGCTGTAGAATAACGTTGGCTACCCTTGAGCAAAATTTTGTTGACATTTATGCAACACCGAAAGTCATTCAACCGGAAGTTAAAATCGATTTCCCGTTTAAACCGGAAGTGAAGTAAAAAGAATTACTGTGCCTTTTTGTTAACATTCTTGACCTGTCTTTGCATAAAAAAATTCAGGTTAATCCGACAATAAACAAAAAAGGTTTTTTTTTTCATTAAAAATTGCAAAATTCGGCCGAAAAAAGTGTGCAACAAATTTCGATTTTTTTTTCGAATCATATCAGATATTACATGTAGATTCCATATATGAAATTCTGAAGAAAATCGATCCGAAAATGTGACCTGAGCCATTTTCTATTTTTTGCACATTTGGAAATGTTCCAATTTATATTTAATAACACTATAGATGTAGAAATGTTGCAGCAACTACTACATTCTAAGCACAGGAAGGTGTGTAAAAATCGAAAAAAAAAAAAAGAATTGACATTTTGATAACTAACTGGGACTTTGCAAAAGCTAAGTCCCACAATAAAAACCTCAGAAAACCAACTATTTAGATTTCTGAGTGGTGGGACTGGAGTTGGTAAAAGTTTTGTAACTATGCCAATTTATCAAAGCTTGAGGTTTTATTCCTCAAAAGCTGGTAATGATTACCAAACTTTACAATATTTGATGGTTATATATTTGAAGATTTGAATGAAAATTATGATCCCTTGAAAGATAATTTTGAAATGTTTGAATTAACAGAAATAATGAGGCAAAAGAACAGTAAATTGTTCGTTGAACGTTTGAATAGATTAAGAGAATACAATTAGGAAAATGAATTAGAAAAAGACATGTAAATTTTAAAAAATTTTATAGATAAAAATGAATATCCTTATGATGTGCAACATCTTTTTATTAGCAATTTAAAGATGAAAAAATTTAATGCCAGTATATTTGAGAAAATTACTGGTGAAAAATATGTAATAAGAGCCAAAGATAGTGTTGTTTGCTCTAAAGCCAAAGCTGTTGAAAAGGCTTTATTACAAAATATACCAGATGCATACATGTGTAATCTACCGATGTTGTAGGGTTTCTACTGCTTTTGCATGTTGTCTACCGCTCTACCGACGGGATACCCAATTCTACCGATTTTTTATTTTTTTCATGACCAAATTTTTACGGGACCTACCATTTTCAATGTCCAAATTCTCTACTCTAAATCTACAAAATATCTGTCATTACTTGTATCTTGATTGTCGGTAACAATAAATTTATCATTTCCTAATTAATTAATCCCCCAATTAAGATGGTAATTTAATCTATTTTCTTAATGTATTTTAAGCCCTCTTGACACACTTTTTATAAATACATCGGGTAGATACTACTTTTGCTTTTACAATAAATTTTACGGTAGCCCTACTTTTATTTAAAAACGAAACCTTCATAGTATTTTATACTGTAAATCTGCGAGGTCTATAATAGGCCTATATAACAAAGACGTCGTTTCAGAAATCTTTTTTATTATCGGTAGATTATCATACGCGACTGGATGTCTAATTCTTATGTAAATTCAAAATTCGTTTCATAAAATCGTTTTGTAATTTTACTGTAACCTGTTAACATTCATTTATTGCCTGCTTTAATGGGCTTACTTATTAAAAGCCTTTGCATATCTGAAGAATGTTAAAATAGAAGCGGTAAATTCAGTTCAATACTTCTGGAGAGTGTTGCAGGAAAATTATTTAATGATCGGAATGGAGGTATTTTAGATTTCATGAATAACACCATTGGAAAAAGTAACATTGCTAGTACATAATATTATTTACTAAATATTTCTTTCAGAACATACTGAGTTTTAATATGGCATTACATGTAGGCCTACCGGTACCATTTAATTTAGAGGGCTGGGATCATGCTTGCTTTCTTGTTTTCATTTCACATCATTTAACCGTGACATTATTTTTGATTCAATCATTACCAAAGAATGACAATATTAAATTTTTTTGGGCCCCTATTTCTAAAGTTATTTTGTCTGAGTAGGCCTATCCCTATTATAGATTTATTAATTTTATAAATTAATTAATTTACAAGGCTTAAGGCTTTTTAAAAAAAAAACCCAATCAATTTGGATTTTCAAAATCATGAATTTACGCGCTTTGGAAAAATCTCCCGACTTTTCATCAAATATCCAGATTTTTCAAGGCAAATATCCAGATTTCTTGACCTGTACACATGTATGCAGATGATTGGAGAAAAACAATGCAGCGACATACCCAATTATCTTCAGTTGTTGGTATGAAATGTGAACTGTGTATTAATGTAAGAACTGAAGATGGATTAACAAATGGTGCTGACTGCACCATAAAATTAATTGAAACTGATAAATCAGGATTGGCTACTCGAACTATTGTTTGGGTCAGTAGTATATGTCTTTTCGGATATGACGCATTTCACTTCTGTGCATGCGCAGCTTTTTCAATGCATCATATCCGAAAAGACACAACTGTTAAAATGTATTATAACAGACTCCCCAAACTGTTAAAAATGTATTATAACAGACTCCCCAAACTGTATTATAACAGACTCCATATAAATTACCCAAACCACAGACAAGAATCACTATAATAATACAGTATAAAATAACCGCATTAAAAATGTCTTTAATTTTAAAACACGAACAAAATACATTCGAAGGAGATGGTTTCTTCTCTGTGCTAACATCTCTCATCCCCAAAGTGGCCAATTTTGTCTCAAACAACAAATTTCCTCCTTGTATTAAATCTTTCGTATTAAAAATATATGTTGAACAAATATGTCTTTAATAAATGTCCATCCTCCTAAAACGTATTTCGGTGCAGGAGACATTCAAAAGTCATTGGGTTCTCTTCCTGGATTCCCATGGGCAAAATATCCCGGAGAAAAACATCTCCCAGGGCACAATTATACAGGTCCAGGCACTAGGTTAGATCTGCGTTTAGACGAAAATGATAATCCCAAACCAGGGGAAGAACCCGTTAATAGAGTTGACGCAGCAGCGCTCAAACACGACATACTGTACAGAAACAAAGACGTAACATTCAGACACCAAGCAGACAAACAAATGATAGACGAACTCGAAAATATTCCAAATCCCACTTTCAAAGAGAAATTACAAAGGGCTCTTATCATTAAACTCTTGAAGGCAAAATTGAAATTGGGTATGGGCATAGCAGATTCACAAAGAATTTCGAAAAAACAAACATTACCTCAAAGTCAAAGTTTTTGATAAAGATGAAATTTGGTCAGCCGATTTAATCAACATGCCAGTCGAGAGAGGGTACAAGTATTGTTTGACGGTGGTCGACATATACACGAGATACGCTTGTGTCTTTCCCTTGAAAAACAAATCGGGTCTGACTGTCAAACAAGCATTCGAAACCATAATGAAACAATCCGACAGACGACCCCTAAAGTTGTGGGTTGATAAAGGAAGCGAATTCTACAACAGAAATGTGAAATCTCTGGGGTTTGAAATTTACAGCACGCATAACGAAGGTAAATCCGTAGTGATAGAAAGATTCAACAGGACTCTTAAAAGCAAATTATTCAAGAAATTCACGGAATTGAAATCTCAAAAATGGCTTAAAATATTACCAGTTGTTGTCGACGAATACAATAAAAAATACATTCGTCTATAGGTGTGACGCCAACGCAAGCCTCTAATAACCCGAATATCATAAAGTCCGTCAACACTCGAAACAACTTTGAAAACGAGATTAGCAATTTGAATATTAAACCCAAATTCAAAGTTGGAGATCGAGTTCGTATTTTTAAATATAAATCATTGTTTCAGAAAGGTTACGTCGGCTATTGGACTAACGAGATATTCATCGTTGATAAAGTAAACAGTACAACACCTCCCACGTATGAATTGATCGATCAAGACAAAGAACAAATCATAGGAAGGTTTTATCAAAATGAACTTCAAAAAACTGACTTTTAAAAATGAATCTCGAAAATGAAGATTAAGATGAAAGGTTAAGAAATTTAGATGTCGACAAGCATTTACGCTCTCTTAAATTAAGATTTTTTAAATTTAAATGTAAATTTATCTTCAAAATATTATTGAATGTGTTTTATCAGAATGTTATACAAGTTTTTTCAAACACAAACTACGTATATATTTCGTCAATTGGGTCTTCAGCAATACTTTCCGCCTACTTCGAAAAACACCTAAAAAAATCAACTTAAAAAATGAATGCATTTCTCGATAAATACAGAAAAGACACGACCACAAACTTTCAACTTGTGAAATGGGCCAAGGAGTTGAACGTCTCGCCATTTTATTATTGCATGCGAGATGAAATTGATGAACTGAAATACAAGAAAGGTAAATTTTACGCCATCACAAACATTCACACGTCGGATCAAAAAGGAGTTCATCACTCTGCTCTACACAAAGATTCTTCGAATAACTTTTATTTCTTTGATTCTTTCGGTCTAGAACCGACAGAAGAGATAACGAAATTGACTAGCAAACCAATCAAATGTTCTACGTTTCAAATTCAAATGCCAGGACAAAAGCTGTGAGGACAGCTGTCGCTTTGGGTTTTATATCGGTTGAGTTTGGGAGAAAAGTTTGAAGAAATTATAATAAATTTAACTCAATAAAAATGGCAAACAAGTTTGGATTAGGGTCTTTACCTCTAGAATCTAAAAATCCCATGAGTTCTACAGCGTTTATAAACAAAGCGAAACCTTTTTTCGTGGATCAAATCGGAGACACCTTACAAGGGGATATCGATATGAACAATTTCAAAATAACTAATTTAAAGTTTCCAGGAAACGATAACGATGCCGTGAACAAGAAATATTTACTGGATCAAATAAACGCAATTCAAATAGATAAGGACCCTGTTGAAAATAGAATATATGACGTGAAAAGATTCATCAGACGAAATATTAAAAATCTTGTGGACGAACCCAAACTACAACAAGAGTTAACGAGTTTGAAACGTCTTATTCAAGTGGATAAAACAAGTCAGTTGCAAAATTTAATATCTAAATTAGAAGATAAGATTACGAAGGTAAAAATAGACGTCCAACGTTTAATAGATAACTCAAATGTAAACGAGGATAGATTGAAACGAAAACTAACCGCTTTGGAAAGAAAACTTGGCGAATTACTAGCAGAACTAGACAAGACCGCGGACAAAACCGAGGTACAAAATTCGATATCCAATTTGAACGAAAAGATCGCGAAGCAAAAATCAGATGTTCAAGATATAATTAACACACTTCCCATTGACAAAGATACGTTGAAACGACAATTGTCTGCTTTGGATACTAAAATCACGGACGAATTAGAAAAAGAAGTGGGTGTGATTAAAAACTTTCTTCAAAATAAATTTCGAGATGATATGAAAAATTATATTAAAGAACAGGTCAATCTTTTGGTATCTAGAATTCATGACGATTTTTTGAGACAAGAGAGAAAGTTGAGCAAATTAGAAGCTATTGTCACGGACAAATCGTATTATTTCAATTTACCATTCGAAAGTGACACTGTCTTCGATAGAAAAGACCAAATTTATAAATCAAACAAATACGGATTCAAAGCAGAAATAAAAGTGGGTTCTCTCGCATACGGAGAACCTAAAAACGTATTCGATATCGGCGAAACGCAAGAGTTTTCTTT